CCCCCCATGAGAACGCCTTATCCATGGTTCGAGTTTTGGTATTAATCGGTGGGTCCAACGTCCATTGCTACTTGCGTTCCATCGCATTTGCCAGTTGAACAGAGTATGGTTTCTTGCAATATTCTTTTTCAGAGTTAGTGGTAGTTCATCCTGTACTTCAAAATTTGTCTCCTTAGCCAAGAGGTCTATTCGGTGTAAATCTGCGACAACAAGCGCTGCGTCGTCGGATACTGTACGAAATGCACAGCAAACCCTTAGAGCGCAAATCTCATATATGAACGCCAGACCACGTCTGTAGGACTTAGTGTCGAGCGCATTTGCCAAAACTTGCGCACCATATAGGCATACCGACTTCACCATTCCGGCTAAAAGACGTCTTCTGTTCTGCTTGGGACCACGTGCATTGAGCATCATTCTTGTTAAGGCGCAGCATGCTTTAGAAGCTTTTTCGCAAACATATTCAAGGTGTTCTTTGAAACATAGCCTTGCATCTAATATGATACCCAGATACTTGGTGACGGGTTTTGTGTTTACCAGGACTCCTTTAACGTTAAATGACACATATTCACGAATCTTCCTGCCTGTCACAAGAACAATCTCGGTCTTGCTTTCCGCTGGGTAAGTCCCATTGAGACAAGCCACTAACCTATGAGTGTCACTGTGGCATTGGCTAATGTGGATATTTGGGTTTCTTTCGGGACATTGAGTCGAAGTACTTTATCTTACAGAGTAAGGGTCCTAACACTGAACCCTGTTTAATACCACCTTGTATTCTTTGGCACCCTCGTGGGTATTATGTTGTAGCACTCTTCCAACAAAGTAGTTTGCGATTATTCTAGTGAGGTACGCGGGCACGCAAAGCTCATATAGCGCCGCTAGGATCTTTTGCCAGGGTGCCGAGTTAAAAGCATTTTTAACATCAAGGGCTACAATCATGCAGTATTGTATTGTGCCTCCCTTCCAAAGTTTACCTTTTCTGGCGTCCTCCGCCATATTCTTCACTAGTTTAAAGCTAAGCGTACACGATAGAGAAATCTCTCGAGAGTTTTACTGAAATAAAAATCTCCTCTCTCAATTAAATTTACACGGTAGAGCAACTCTAAGAGATATTGACACTAGCTAGAGACAAAATAGAGAAATCTCGACTTTTATCTATCACGTACTCTACAAGCTGTGTACACGGTGGACAATATTTACCTCTCGCCTAGAGTTAGTTTTTTATCTCGAATTGTTGTCAACGCTTGTTGTATATATATATGTATTTATATCAAAGCCACGATGTAGAAAATATAGTTGGTGCCATCAGCGGAGCGCTAGCTCTTCGTCGATTTGGCAGCATTCACATATTTTCTGACGTCATAAAATACATTTTCGCAAAAATGTACCTAAAAGTAGACAAATTTACCTAAAAACTAAACATGGCAACCTCTTTCTTCGGTACCATGTGTACTTTTGGACTCACATCAAACAGTTTCTCCGAGCAATTCCAGCCAAACTACTATATATGTATATGTATGTATGTAGGTATTCACCAAGTTGAGCAAGTGGCCTGGCACTCTGGCAAAACAGCAGATAAATGAAGCAACGACTGTTGCCAGAGTGCCAGACCACCTTTTCAAATGTTTTAACCAATAATTATGCCCCTTTGCAAATGGCGGAGGCTATTGGAAAAGCCATTGAAATGCCTATGAAAATAAGAGGATGATTCTCAGTACATTAATTGGCTACGTTCTAAATGTACTTAAAATGGTGTGTTTGTATCGAATATGCGATTTAATGTCGTAGGCATTTCAAAATTTAATAATCTGTAATGAAGTTCATTATCAAGACTTTGCTATACGTCTCCGGAGAGCAAAAAGTCTATTTAGCTTGCTAAATAGAGCGCAGAGTTGTCGTAGAGTTTTCGATCTAGCTCCGTTGGACTGGGTACACGACGAAAAAGTCTCGCTAAATAACTCTCACATAGACTTTGTAGGTGAGTCTCTCGTAGAGCTCTATTGAGCGATTACACGTATCTTGCGAGATTTTTGTCTAAATCTCGCGTTTTTTCTCTACCGTGTACACTTAGCTTAATGGTCAGTAGACCTTTTCCTTCGAAAGCCAAATTGATTTGGTGATAGGCCACCACAGTTTTCAATGAACGTATTAATATGCTCAAGGATCTTTCCCGCCGAATCTAGCAGGCAGAGTGGACGGAAGTGTGACGGGTCGGTCAAGAGTTTATTGGGCTTCGGAAGCAGCAGTAGTTTCTGCCGTTTCCATGCAATAGGAAAGTGTCCCTCTTGTACGCATGCATTGCACAATGCAGCGAAGATATCAGTGAAGTGACTAATCGCTTTTTTCAGTGCCACATTAGGAATGCAATCCGGCCCTGGAGCCTTAGCTGCTTCCAGTCGCTTGCATGCTTCTTGTACCTCCTCGTTGAAAACGGGAGGGATAATTGGCCTGGGTTGCTCTACTACAGACATGAAATGGAGTTCAGGTTGTGTGGGAAAAAGAGTTGAAACAATGTTTTAAAGAACACTGGCTGAAGTTGGCATTTGACCAGGGGTATGTAGTTTCCCCGTGACGACCTTATACGCGAGTCCCCAAGCATTTTTTTCTGCATCGTCGCACAGCTTTAGAAAACAGCTACGTTCCTCAACTTCTCCCCTTAGCAGCTCCCTTTTCATTCTATACGACTCTTGAAGCGAGTGAAAGCTGGCTGAACCTCTCGCCCTTTGGTACCGCCGTCTTGAATACTGGCATTCCTTGCGCAAGCTCTTTCATTCCACCAATAGGCGGCGAATCGTCTTTGGTTTAAGGTTCTCGCCATGGACGCGTCGCACGCTCTTCTAAGCCGCCTCATTACTTCACATTATAAGCTGGTTGCTTTAGTAGGTTACTTGGTAACGGGGTCGCATCGAAACTCTACGGAGAGCCCGGGATGAAAGGTTTTGCTTCACCAGAAACGAGTTTTTAGGGTTGTCACACTGGACGTGAGTTTCATTTACTTCAAAAATTATTGCGTAGTGATCACCGAAGGTGTAGTCCTCAATAACTTCCCAATTCGTTCTATTGAACAGATCGTAGTGGACAAAGGTCAGATCTATAACCGACTTCCGGCCA